GAGCCTGGCTGTCTCCCTGACTCTTGACCTTGTCATTGTCCTTGGAGGACTCTGCCCAACTCTCGTCCCCCTGGCAGGCACATGCCCTGCGTCCCTTCTCATCCGGTGCCTTCACGCCTGCCCAGTGCTTGAGCCGCGGTACCCGATCCTTGCTCTTAGCACCCTCGGCAACGCCCCAGCCCCCACCTTTGTCCCAGGCGTCACCCTCCAGCCCCAGCAGCTGCTGCCTGGAGACATCGGCAGGGTCTCAAGGTCACACCACTGGAGCCCAACAGCTCGCTCTCCCTGGGCACGACGTACACACTGGGGCCCTCCAACTCGTGGGTCCTGCTGTCCAGCAGCTCTGGTGACCACTGACCCCGCTGTGCTCAGGTCGTCTCCCATGGCTCTGTGGCACTCGTGTCCTCTTCTGTGGCATCGTGGTGCTGAGGTCCCCTCCCCCGACTCTGTGACACACGTGGTGTCCTCCCATGACTCTGTGGCACTGGGTCATTGCCCAAGGCTCCGCCGTCCTCGACTGGCTGGGTCTCACTTCTGGTCTTACCCGTGTTGTGAGTGTCCCTGCCACGCCTGTGATAAGCAGCTCTGACTCTGCTCTCCTTTTCTTTCGGCAGCTCGTTTGTGACAGGGACAGCTTGTTGTGGGCACTTCTCACCCCTGAGAATCTGGGACCTCAACAGGTAAGAGATCCCTGAGCCCACATGGCTTGCAGTGGGGGAGGCTGGTGCAGTTGGGAGGCAGAGGAAAGCGCCAGTGAGCCAGCCCACCTGGGCGGCCCAGGGGGCCAGGAGGAGCGGGGAAGCCCCCTGCCCCACGCTCCCAGCAGCCCCCCGAGGTGCCTTCCCACGCAGAGCCCTTGGATCTGGTATGGGGTGGCTGCCAAAGTGATTTATAACAGGTAAATCATTTCATGTAGAATTTATGCTAACAGCAACAATTTGGATTTACGATCATGTTCTCTGAGGAGTGTCTGACTGTGTGGCTGCGTGAAATCCCACCTATCCCCAGAGACGCTTTTTCTAAAAGAAAAATCCTGACGGTGGCCTACAGACCTATAAAAAGAAGTATATGGAACCGTCAAAATACAGCCAGGTTTTGTTCACAGTGTTCTGCCTTGGCAGGCTTGACCTATTCCCATTGGATTAACCGCCATTCTAGGTTATTTAACTTTTTATTTTGAAATAATCATAGATTCCCAGGAAGTCACAAAAATAGGATGGAAAGGTACTTGTGTGCCATCTTGCATATTATAACAGCAGCTGCTGTTTATAGCAGAGCGCGATGTACACACTGGGGCCCTCAAACTCGTGGGTCCTGCTGTCCAGCAGCTCTGGTGACCACTGACCCCGCTGTGCTCAGGTC